GTTCTGTACCCTGATGTTGAATGTCATTGGATTGAGAAGAAGAGAAATGGGACTTTATCCAGTCTCCATCCACAACCTCCATCCACAACCCTGCAGCTCTCCAGAGACCACAGAAATGGATGGGGTCTCTGGAGAGCTGCAGGGCCAGTAGCAACACAGTCCAGCTCCATCCCACAGCTGCATATGATAGGGCTTTGACTTGCCTTCTGGCACCTTTCTGCTATTCAGAATGCCCTTTTTAAATCTCACTTTTGAAAGAAAGTTTTAAAGTCAAAATGTTCGCAGCCAGAGCTTGTGACCCTGTCAAAGAATCGTTGCAATGTGCAGAAGGAAACAATCTTTCATTATTTTTTGGACAGTTTCAATTACTTAACTGAGAATTGCAATTATTTCCATGCTTTGATCACAATGGATTATGTTGCATAAACTGTTTCCAATCTGCAATAACATAATTGCATCTCTATTGAGTAAGGCTGTCACCAACAATGAGACAATCCTTGCCAGGCGGCTTACATTTCATCCCGCAGCACGATTTCATGAAACTGCAATCTGAAGAATTTTACTGTTGTTTTTTATTAAATTTTAGTGCAATTTTTTCAAACCAAGGCTTTTGGAAAACATGCAAATTCAAAGTTGAGCAGTTCATGCTGCGCAATTGTTTAAAATGTCCCTCCCTTCCAATAGCTCAGTTCTTCATTATTTTTATGGAGCCTCTAGCCCAGAGTCCATCTGGAATTGGTACAAACTTTCTACAGCTCACTTTTTCATGAGCTAAAAGTTCCAGAGGAATCACGATTCTCCCTGCTGTGGGGAGAGTTGAGACTAAATTCTGGGCTTTCTGTCCCTGTTTTAGCTCCTAGCCCCCCTTTAAGTCCATTCTTTCTAGCAACAAACCCTTCCTTTGCTGCCTGGAATCCTCATCCCCTTCAGTCCCTTAGTCCTAGCCCTTGCATGACCTTGCTGGCAGGGGAAAGACAGCTCTGGAGCCAGCACTGCCAACCCCAAGCATTCAGAAATCATCTGACTGGCTTTAAAATCGTGAGATTAAAAAAAAATTATAAATCTTCAGTTCATTTATTTGCTCTCTGCCTTTTGAAACTTTCAGTTGCACTGGGCATGTTTTCAAGTGTTTCTTGCAACCACGAGTTCCATTATAAAACCAAACCCAAAGCAAATGCTGACATTCCCAGGGGAAGAGACCGTCTCTTGACTCACAAACCCATCAATTGCAAAGTGTGTCGCTGTCACAACAACTCTCTTCCTCTGTTCTCAGACCACTAGCAACCGGAACCAGGCTCTGGAACTCCCGAGTCTCTTGTCAGCCCTGCCTGCCACAGACCCACTGAGCTACCCTAAGTAAGTCACATCACTGTGTCTAAATGTCTCCATCTACAAAGCAGGGACAGTAACTAATACCACACAGGGTTCACTGTTAACCCTTTCAAGACTGTTGAGGTCCTAAGATACCAAGGTTCTGTTCTCTGTGAAGGACACACACGTCTCAGTTAAACAGTAAAACTGCCACTTTCTCTCTCTAGCGAGAGCTAGAAACCCAGCCCAAATGGGTGGTTCAGAACCCTGAGACCAGTCAGTCAGCACAGGGTGCCTCTCCTGGTGCAGCCAGTCCAGCTTCCATCCCAGGGAAAGATTCAGTCCTCCTCAGGAGGGGCCTCCTCCAGCACCCTTTCCTAGTCAACAACTGAGACAGCAGAATGATCCAGAATCACTGCCGCAGCAGCCGTAGACCAGGCCACACCACAGAAGACATGTGCTTTGCTTTGCAGTTGGCAACAGGTAGTTTCCATAGAGCTCCCTTCACCAGGCCCTGGCTAGGATGAGCACTTGGGAAGGCAGCAGAAGAGATGCCAGGTCTGCCTCTTGGAGCATTTGAGAGATCACAAGAGAAGAAGTAAAACATAAATTAATTATGCTTTTAAGGGGCTAACCTAGGGGGTGAGGAAGAGGCCAGCCAGCTGCCAGCAGATAGCATGACCCCCCCTTGTGAGCCTGGGGGTCCCGGAGCACAGAGCTGCCTATTGACATGCTAGTACCACGTCACAAACCGGCGATTATGGAGTGCTGCTGCTATTGCCGGCGAGACAGAGTCAAAGTCAATGGAAATGACCAATTAGCGCGTTTCTGATGAAACAGAGAAACACACAGTTGACCGGGGTGGGCAAACTTTTTGGCCCGAGGGCCACATCTGGCTATGGAAATTGTATGGCGGACCATGAATGCTCAAGAAATTGGAGGATTGGGGTGTGGGAGGGGGTGAGGGCTCCAGCTGGGGGTGCGGGCTCTAGGGTGGGGCCAGAAACAAGGAGTTCAGGGTGCGGGAGGGGGCTCCAGGCTGGGGCAGGAGGTTGGGGTGCAGGGTTCAGCTGGGGGTGCGGGCTCTGGGGTGGGGCTGGGGATGAGGGGTTGGGGGTGCAGGAGGGTGCTCTGGGCTGGGACCAAGAGGTTGGGGCATGGGAGGGGGTCAGAGGTGCAGGCTTCAGGCAGCGCTTACCTCAAGCAGCTCCTGGAAGCAGCGGCATGTCCCCGCTCTGGCTTCTACACGGAGGTGTGGCCAGATGGCTCTGTGCGCTGCCCCGTCCGCAGCCACTGCCCCTGCAGCTTCCATTGGCCATGGTTCCCGGCCAATGGGAACTGTAGGGGCTGCGCTTGGGGCAGGGGCAGCCTGTGGGAGCCCCCTGGCTGCCCCTACACATAGGAGCCAGAGGGGGGACATGCCACTGCTTCCGGGAGCCATGCGGAGGCATGGCATGCGTGGAGACGGGCAAGCCCCCAACCCCGCTCCCTGGCGGGAGCTTGAAAACCAGATTAAAACGTTTGAAGGGCCGGATGCAGCCCCCGGGCCATAGTTTGTCCACCCCTGCAACTGACTCACTAATTGCGCAATTAAAAGGATTACTCCACAAATTGCTGACTAACTCTGGACAATGCAAATGGTGCTGGAATGAACACTTGCCCTGTGCTGAGGAAGGAAGGTCTGATGAAATGCACAGAGCACAGCTGCCTTAGTCTGGCAATGCTGAAGCCTGCAGCTTTGAGAGGGGTATCAGAACAGCATAGATGCTGGGGAGAAGGACTGAGATGAGGGTGCTTGGGTGCTGCTTCCCCGTTGTCTTTCACACTGTGTTCTCCAGGCAGCCTCTCTCCAAATGCAGCAGGCTGTGGCACTGGGCTCAGATCTCTCCACCCACCGCCTCTCTTCTCACGGGTTCCTCCTGGGAACAGATTATTGTGTCTGCTTCTAGCTCTGGGCAGCAAGGGCTGAGGGTGCTGTGTCAGCTGTGAGAGGCTGGGCGTGTGCATCTATCCAATCCCTAGCCGCAAGGGCTCGCTGTGTTGCTCTCTCTGGCATTAGCTTGGCAAAGCAGCCACCCACCAAGTCAGGGGGGCAGGAAGATAAACAGGGACAGGTGCTCAACTTCCTCTCTTCTACTGAAGCATCATAATGGCAAACTCCTCCCCTGCCTGGGCCTGATGGCTCACGCTCCAAGACTGCTCTCATCCAGGGCCTTCTGTCACCTGCCTGAGCGTTCAGAGTCGTACTGCTCAGCCTGGCAGCGGGAGAAGCAACCCCTCCTGCAGGGTGACTGGAAGATCACACTTAGGACATGTAGGCAAACCCCAGAGCATACACAAGGGTGAAGTTGGATCAGGGCAGGGAGACCATCTGGACTCCCGTAGAGCCCCCGGTCACTCTCGTCAGGTCACATTGTCTCAGGATTTCCCTCCAAGAGAATTCAAGAGTCAGCTCCTTTGTTCTGCCTCAGTGCTTCCAGGGGCTAGTCAGCAGCCTTGCAGCACCGTTAATAATGAAGAACGTATGCACACAACAACCTGGGGGCTAGGAGCATCTTCCCCATCAGACAGAGTGGGACTGTGGTCCCAGGCAGGGTAAGTGACTTGCCTGAGGTCACATGAGGCGTCCCCAGCAGAGCTGGGAACTGACAGCACAGTCCTGAGTCCAGCCCCTTGACCACAGTCTAGTGGCTCCCACAATGGACTCAGTCCCCAGCGCTCAGGTGTGACCCATGTTGCATGAAAGCGTCAGGCCAGTCAGCTGAGTGCTAATGTGAGATGCTACTCATTCTCTTGCACTAATTGTGAGCTTTCTAGAATGATAGGGCATGGCCACTGCTGCCATCAATCTGCTTCTTCAACACAACAGCAACAAAATCATCGCTCACTGCTCAAGAAGTTACTCCACAACCCAGAGCATGAACTTATCTTCTTGTTGTGCTGTGTAATTTTGCAATTCCCTAGGCGTGTGCGTATCTCAGGGGCACAGGAGTCAGTGGTGCTTAGCAGAACGGTGAGGGCTGGTTCCTATTATTCAGCAAGGAAGTGCAGAAGGTGCAAATATAGACAATGCTAAGTGAAAATGAGTGGACTGCAAAACCCTTAAGATTCCCTCTGAAATGTGCTGAGGACAGCAAGGGGGAAACAGCATGCAAACATGATGCTGTGCATAATACTACAGAGGCTAATTTTAACTCAAGATACATCTTAGAGTATAAAGAAAAGGAGTACTTGTGGCACCTTAGAGACTAACCAATTTATTTGAGCATGAGCTTTCGTGAGCTACAGCTCACTTCATCAGATGTTTACCGTGGAAACTGCAGCAGACTTTATATACACACAGAGAATATGAAACAATACCTCCTCCCACCCCACTGTCCTGCTGGTAATAGCTTATCTAAAGTGATCAGCAGGTGGGCCATTTCCAGCACAAATCCAGGTTTTCTCACCCTCCACCCCCCCACACAAATTCACTCTCCTGCTGGTGCTAGCCCATCCAAAGTGACAACTCTTTACATAGTCAAGTCGGGCTATTTCCTGCATAGATCCAGGTTTTCTCACATCCCCCCCACCCCCATACACACACAAACTCACTCTCCTGCTGGTAATAGCTCATCTAAACTGACCACTCTCCAAGTTTAAATCCAAGTTAAACCAGAACATATGGGGGGGGGGGGGTTAGGAAAAAACAAGAGGAAACAGGCTACCTTGCATAATGACTTAGCCACTCCCAGTCTCTATTTAAGCCTAAATTAATAGTATCCAATTTGCAAAGGAATTCCAATTCAGCAGTTTCTCGCTGGAGTCTGGATTTGAAGTTTTTTTGTTTTAAGATAGCGACCTTCATGTCTGTGATTGCGTGACCAGAGAGATTGAAGTGTTCTCCGACTGGTTTATGAATGTTATAATTCTTGACATCTGATTTGTGTCCATTTATTCTTTTACGTAGAGACTGTCCAGTTTGACCAATGTACATGGCAAAGGGGCATTGCTGGCACATGATGGCATATATCACATTGGTGGATGTGCAGGTGAACGAGCCTCTGATAGTGTGGCTGATGTTATTAGGCCCTGTGATGGTGTCCCCTGAATAGATATGTGGGCACAATTGGCAACGGGCTTTGTTGCAAGGATAAGTTCCTGGGTTAGTGGTTCTGTTGTGTGGTATGTGGTTGTTGGTGAGTATTTGCTTCAGGTTGCGGGGCTGTCTGTAGGCAAGGACTGGCCTGTCTCCCAAGACTTGTGAGAGTGTTGGGTCATCCTTTAGGATAGGTTGTAGATCCTTAATAATGCGTTGGAGGGGTTTTAGTTGGGGGCTGAAGGTGACCGCTAGTGGCGTTCTGTTATTTTCTTTGTTAGGCCTGTCCTGTAGTAGGTAACTTCTGGGAACTCTTCTGGCTCTATCAATCTGTTTCTTTACTTCTGCAGGTGGGTATTGTAGTTGTAAGAAAGCTTGACAGAGATCTTGTAGGTGTTTGTCTCTGTCTGAGGGGTTGGAGCAAATGCGGTTGTATCGCAGAGCTTGGCTGTAGACGATGGATCGTGTGGTATGGTCAGGGTGAAAGCTGGAGGCATGCAGGTAGGAATAGCGGTCAGTAGGTTTCCGGTATAGGGTGGTGTTTATGTGGCCATTGTTTATTAGCACTGTAGTGTCCAGGAAGTGGATCTCTTGTGTGGACTGGACCAGGCTGAGGTTGGTGGTGGGATGGAAATTGTTGAAATCATGGTGGAATTCCTCAAGGGCTTCTTTTCCATGGGTCCAGATGATGAAGATGTCATCAATATAGCGCAAGCAGAGTAGGGGCTTTAGGGGACGAGAGCTGAGGAAGCGTTGTTCTAAATCAGCCATAAAAATGTTGGCATACTGTGGGGCCATGCGGGTACCCATAGCAGTGCCGCTGATCTGAAGGTATACATTGTCCCCAAATGTGAAATAGTTATGGGTAAGGACAAAGTCACAAAGTTCAGCCACCAGGTTAGCCGTGACATTATCGGGGATAGTGTTCTTGACGGCTTGTAGTCCATCTTTGTGTGGAATGTTGGTGTAGAGGGCTTCTACATCCATAGTAGCCAGGATGGTGTTATCAGGAAGATCACCGATGGATTGAAGTTTCCTCAGGAAGTCAGTGGTGTCTCGAAGGTAGCTGGGAGTGCTGGTAGCGTAGGGCCTGAGGAGGGAGTCTACATAGCCAGACAATCCTGCTGTCAGGGTGCCAATGCCTGAGATGATGGGGCGCCCAGGATTTCCAGGTTTATGGATCTTGGGTAGTAGATAGAATATCCCAGGTCGGGGTTCCAGGGGTGTGTCTGTGCGGATTTGACCTTCTGCTTTTTCAGGAAGTTTCTTGAGCAAATGCTGTAGTTGCTTTTGGTAACTCTCAGTGGGATCATAGGGTAATGGCTTGTAGAAACTCGTGTTGGAGAGCTGCCGAGCAGCCTCTTGTTCATATTCCGACCTATTCATGATGACAACAGCACCTCCTTTGTCAGCCTTTTTGATTATGATGTCAGAGTTGTTTCTGAGGCTGTGGATGGCATTGCGTTCCGCATGGCTGAGGTTATGGGGCAAGTGATGCTGCTTTTCCACAATTTCAGCCCGTGCACGTCGGCGGAAGCACTCTATGTAGAAGTCCAGTCTGCTGTTTCGACCTTCAGGAGGAGTCCATCTAGAATCCCTCTTTCTGTAGTGTTGGCAGGGAGACCTCTGTGGATTAGTATGTTGTTCAGAGGTATTTTGGAAATATTCCTTGAGACGGAGACGTTGAAAATAGGATTCTAGGTCACCACAGAACTGTATCATGTTCGTGGGGGTGGAGGGGCAGAAGGAGAGGCACCTTCCTGGACACTACAGTGCTAATAAACAATGGCCACATAAACACCACCCTATACCGGAAACCTACTGACCGCTATTCCTACCTGCATGCCTCCAGCTTTCACCCTGACCATACCACACGATCCATCGTCTACAGCCAAGCTCTGCGATACAACCGCATTTGCTCCAACCCCTCAGACAGAGACAAACACCTACAAGATCTCTGTCAAGCTTTCTTACAACTACAATACCCACCTGCAGAAGTAAAGAAACAGATTGATAGAGCCAGAAGAGTTCCCAGAAGTTACCTACTACAGGACAGGCCTAACAAAGAAAATAACAGAACGCCACTAGCGGTCACCTTCAGCCCCCAACTAAAACCCCTCCAACGCATTATTAAGGATCTACAACCTATCCTAAAGGATGACCCAACACTCTCACAAGTCTTGGGAGACAGGCCAGTCCTTGCCTACAGACAGCCCCGCAACCTGAAGCAAATACTCACCAACAACCACATACCACACAACAGAACCACTAACCCAGGAACTTATCCTTGCAACAAAGCCCGTTGCCAATTGTGCCCACATATCTATTCAGGGGACACCATCACAGGGCCTAATAACATCAGCCACACTATCAGAGGCTCGTTCACCTGCACATCCACCAATGTGATATATGCCATCATGTGCCAGCAATGCCCCTTTGCCATGTACATTGGTCAAACTGGACAGTCTCTACGTAAAAGAATAAATGGACACAAATCAGATGTCAAGAATTATAACATTCATAAACCAGTCGGAGAACACTTCAATCTCTCTGGTCACGCAATCACAGACATGAAGGTCGCTATCTTAAAACAAAAAAACTTCAAATCCAGACTCCAGCGAGAAACTGCTGAATTGGAATTCCTTTGCAAATTGGATACTATTAATTTAGGCTTAAATAGAGACTGGGAGTGGCTAAGTCATTATGCAAGGTAGCCTGTTTCCTCTTGTTTTTTCCTAACCCCCCCCCCCCCCCCCATATGTTCTGGTTTAACTTGGATTTAAACTTGGAGAGTGGTCAGTTTAGATGAGCTATTACCAGCAGGAGAGTGAGTTTGTGTGTGTATGGGGGTGGGGGGGATGTGAGAAAACCTGGATCTATGCAGGAAATAGCCCGACTTGACTATGTAAAGAGTTGTCACTTTGGATGGGCTAGCACCAGCAGGAGAGTGAATTTGTGTGGGGGGGTGGAGGGTGAGAAAACCTGGATTTGTGCTGGAAATGGCCCACCTGCTGATCACTTTAGATAAGCTATTACCAGCAGGACAGTGGGGTGGGAGGAGGTATTGTTTCATATTCTCTGTGTGTATATAAAGTCTGCTGCAGTTTCCACGGTAAACATCTGATGAAGTGAGCTGTAGCTCACGAAAGCTCATGCTCAAATAAATTGGTTAGTCTCTAAGGTGCCACAAGTACTCCTTTTCTTTTTGCGAATACAGACTAACACGGCTGTTCCTCTGAAACCTATCTTAGAGTATGTTACAGAAGAGACTCCCCTGTGTGTGTTGGAAAAAACGTGTCCTAAATACAGCAAGTCCATTGAAGAGAGGCACTCAGTGTACTTAGTGGAAATGGTTTCAGTGATATATGGTATGGCCCACATAGGAAAATGTATCTGGTTCTTTGCATCCACACCGTAACTCCATCCAGCGTAATTCAGCCATATGTGCCTTTATTGGAAGCCAAGGGGGATGTATAGCATGTTAGAAGTTTATAAAAGCTACATCTAAGTGCAAAGCCAACAAGGGCATTAAAGAAAACTGCTCTAGTTACAGAAGACTGCAAGGGTAAGCGTACACTGTAATTAGACCCCCGCAGCTGGCCCATGCCACCTGACTCACTCACGGTGCAGGTCTGGTTCACTGCAGTGTTAACTTCCTGGATGGAGCTGCGGTCGGAGCTCTGGGACCCTCGCACCTCACAGGGTCCTACAGACAGGCTCCAGCCCAAGGCCAGAAGTGTACACTGCAATGAAATAGCCCCGTGAGCCTGAGTCAGCTGGCAAGGGCCAGCCGTAGGTGTCCAATTTCAGTGTAGACATACCCTCAGACTACCCAGAGCAGGCCCTGTATTTGGCAGGGAGGGGCAGATAGAGAGAAATGCTCCCACAATAATTGCTCTCTCTCTGGGTGTAGGTAGATCTTCTAAATGCACCCCCCGGAGATGCAGGGCGACTCCAGCAGCAAGAAGCCCGTTACCCAACCCTCCCTCAGGACATGAAATCAAGGGGTCTCTCCCCTGCGTCCACACTTGGCTTCCTTGCTCTCTCCTAGGCTAGAGACCAGAGCAGCCCTGACTGATTGTGAGGCTCACTGTCTCTTTGCCAGCAGGCAAAGTGTAGCTCTTTCCCTGGCCAGCCTTTTTCAGAGCTGTGTGTTTTATAAAACAAGTTCCTGGTCGCAAGTGCCCAGCCCCGGATCTCTCTGCACTCACCACATCAGCAGGGCCACTGGAGAGAATTTCCTCCCATGCTAATGACCACGCAGTGGTGTGTGTCTTCACAGCAATGTCTGACTGAGATTGTAAAGTCCCTGGGCAAGGAGCATACGTCTGCCCAGCACCATGCAGGCTGCCAGCAATTAATACGAACGCTACTGTGCTGGACAATGGCTAAGTGGGGGTCTCTTTCCTTACACAGGCTGGGGCTGAGTCACACTGCAATATGAAGGACTTAGCATTTCCTATGCTGGAGCAATGTACTTTCCAAAAGAGACCATTGCACACCCTAGGGGCTGCAATATAGGGGCTTTAAATGCTCGACAATTACCCCGTGTGTTTGTCTTTTCCCAGGCCTGGTTTTCAGCAGTGCTGAGAACCCGCACCTCCCCTCTAGGCCCCCACCGATCACCCAGGTGAGAGGCAGGGGCCTGGGTTAACCACATGTGCACTAGGGCTTGTGGAACACCGTTACCTGGTCCCAGCATGCTCAGCACCTTTGGAAATCAGGCCCCAAAAGAAGCCAGGACCATGGGTTTAACCCAATGCCCCCACCTGGGGAAGGTGGTGGAGCATCTGAGAGCTGGAGTTGCCCTCATGCAGTGGGGCTCGCCTTGCTCAGTGGCCATGCCTAATCCGTCAGCTGGGCACTGGTTCATTAGCAGAGTGGCACTGGGCCTGTTCCAGGCTGTGTGTTTGTGTCCCACACGCAGCCCCTTCTCCTCTCAACTTGGCTGTGTGAGCGTGGAGCTGCGCAAGGACTTTGTTCTTTCCAGTCTCTTCTCTTCTCTTAAATGAAGCCATTTCTTTGGAGATTCCTCTCTTAATACCCTGCAAAGACCCAGTTATCAAAAGCTTAGACCAAAGCCATTTGTAAGAAGAGCTATAACTGCCAGTGGATGAGGAAATGTATAGGTTAATTTAGACTAACAAGACTTTTCAATTACTCAGCTCCAAAGCCATGTGTGAAGACTGAGGGCTGGGAATATGCAGAGAGGTGAGTGCTGCCCATGAGGGATGAAATCCGACTGAACTAAATAACACCTGTTCTTTTTTCATCAAAACGACATGCACTTTAAAACCAAAGCCAGCTTAGCCATTAACCCCATTGCCGAAAAGCCTGTCACCCGCTGACCTTCTCTCCTGCAGGAATCCCACTAGGGAGGATCAACAAGAGGTGATGCAGGGACTTTGCTGCTCTGACTCTCTAGAGAGTTCTGCCAGTTCACAGGGAGCCAGCGTCAGCCATATTCTTTAGCCCCATAGTGACACCATGGTACCAGGGCTTGGCTCCAATGACATTTACACCCGCTGTCAGGGAGGCATCACAGGGCTCTTGTGCAGCTGAGAATTGGGTCCTGGGTGCCTCATCCATGGCACAGAGAGCATCTCTGCGCCATGTTAGTCAGGCAGCCAGGATTGGGACATATGTGTTCGACAGCCAGATGGGCCCTTCTGGGGTGTCCTTGCCACAGACACCCACTGCAGAGCTGCTCTCAGCCATGCCGTCCCTCCAGGGAGATGGTCAGTGGAGGCTCCTTTGGCCCTTGCTGGTGACTGCCCAGCAGAGAATCATGCTGTTGCTTTGGACATGGTTCCTTCTCGCAGTGTCATGGGCACAGAGGTCTCGGGCTGGATTACTGCCAAACGCAGAACATCTGCTGAGTTCTTCCCAAACCGGTGTGTTTGCAAGCCCTAGTTATTACTTCATTCCATCACACTGATATTCAGAGAGACAGTCAAGCACTTGGGCGGCAGAGAACGTCCAAGGAAGGCCGCCCACACAGCGTGAACCCTGCCCTCCCGTGTGTAGACAGTACAATGGGACAATTGTTAATTACGAGATTCCAGAGACTTTCCCCGGTACTGCTGTGCAATAGCACAATATTCTCAGCAGCCTCCAACAGGCTGGCCCAAGTGCGGAGTCTGGGCTGTGCGGGAGAAGGGAGGGTTAGTTGCCATGCCCTCCGCAGGCTGCCGAGGGCCTGGAACATGGATTGTTTGCACTGCCGCCATTGCACTAAAATATGTTCTTTTAAATTCCTGGAGAAAATGCCCTGGGTCCTTCACGGCCTGAGTTGGATTTATCTCCTCTTTCTGCCCCTGTGTCTCTAGTCTTGTGTCCTCTGGAGACACTTCAGCCCAGGTCTCCTCATTATTCCGTGCAGGCTGCTCAGGCCCCATCAATCCCCAGCAACGAGCCCTTCAAGCCAGAGGGAACAAGTGCCAAAAACTTGCAAGAAAGGAACAGCGGGTCCCTACCCACACCTGCTAGGGAATGCCACTCAGGAGTCTGGAAATTCTGCTTGCTAGCTGCTGGGAAGAGCTGCAGCATCAGGATGGATTTAGGAGACCTCTGCTGCATTTATGCAGCAGAGGAAAAAGGTGTTGTCATAGCTAAAGTGGAAGGCTCTGGTTGGCTCGTACTGTTATTAAGTTTGCAGAGTCTCTCTTTGCTAGATGCAGAGAAAGGGACATTGCTCCACAAGATGAACTGTCTCATGACTTGATTATCATTTAAACTCACAGTGAAGCAAGAACTTTAAAAACAAACAAAAACCAAAACCAACCAACTCAGCAGGAGTTATGCTGCCAAGTCTTTGGAAACCCAGCCACCTTCTTTGTCTGGTGCTCAAGAGCGCTCTGTCTGACATGAGTCATGCTCTGGGGGAAGCCACGTGTCTTGCCCTAGCATTGCCCATACAGGAAACTCCTGTATCTGCCCAACTTTGTTGTTCATTTAGGTTCCTGGGAAACACCCAGCAAAGTCCCTGAGAAATAGAGAGCGTTAGGATTCCAGAGAGGTGGATAGTTCCCAAGGCTGAGAAATCTGAAGCAAAAACATGTGCTGAGCCGGACGCTACCCCTTGGACCGGCATGCTGGGGAATATGACTGAGCCCTTTGAAACATGTTATGGTGCTACCACAGTGCACTGGCGGGGGGGCACGACAGTGGCAGGTCATTATAGGCACCCTGGGAGAAGAGGCGACTGATTAACCTCATAGCT